CTCTGGCCCTGGACTGCACGCAGTGTTTCAAAGTGGCAGCAACACGAGGAGCCCGGTGTCTGCCCCCAGGCTCCAAGCGGCACTGTCACTTTGAAATACCCCCTCCTCTTCCTCCTCTGCTCCCCCACAGGAAGCCAGCACAGTCACTCTAATTTTGCAGGGAGCCACGAGGCTGGAGCACCTGGCCCAAGGCAGGCAGTGGTGGTTCCCTGCTGGGTCATGTAGCGTCAGGGCTCTAGACCCGGGAGCAGAAGTGGGACTGGAGGTGGCTGGATGAGAAGCGGCAGAGGTGGGGGAGCAGCAGAGCTCGCTGAGCGCCATGTGAGCTGGAGCCTATCAACAGTGGCGGAGCAGGGCACTGGAGCTGCTTCCCACCAGGGCCTCAGAAAGCAGCAAGGAGCCACTGCCACTCCCTGTAGGAGAACCGAGGGCACTCCCTGAGAAGGGGAACCCCAAGCCATGTCACCCGCTTCCCCTTCTGTCTCTGCCGAGGCTGGGGGGGGCAGGGTGACACAGATTGATGTGATGACATCACTCTGTCATCCCGCAGGGAAACATTTTTTAGAGAGACACAGACTTTATAATGGGATAGAAGTTCTAAATGCAAAGTAGAATCTTATAATAATCCCAACAAAAATAAACAGAAATAAATGTTTTCAATACTTTCAGAAACCTTTATTCCATTTCCTCATTGGCTCCAATCACTCATTAATGTGATAGGTGATTACTATATTTATTTGAGGCACAGGATGGAACTATTTGGGGAGATATAAAACAACAGAATACACTTATAAACTCTCCAAGGCAATATCCATTTCTAAGAGAATATTAGTTGAGATACAATGTTTCATATATTTGGTAAAGGAAAGATTTTAGTAAGGAATGTGATTTCCTTCCTCCAACTGAAGATAGACAAGTCATCTGTGCAGAAAAAAAAAACATTGATTTGCTTCTCCATCCACAAAGCCCTACAGCTATCAGTTAAAGATAAGGGAACAATTACAATTGTTACTCATAACACTTATCCCTGATCTTACTGCTGAAAGATCCCAACTCTAATGCTTTGTCTAGCATTGAAGGTGGTGCAGCTCAGGTCTGTAAAAAGGAGCCATTTAACATTCACTTCCTGATGTGAGTCAAAAACTGAACCAAATAAGCGCTCTCTAATTCATTGAAATTAAAATGCAGATTTCTTCTAGATTTTGATGTTCTTGCTGAATGCATAATTAGAATTCAAAAATCATATTTGTCTGGGCAGAAAGCCAGCCTGCTCTGGTTAGTTCTCTAAATGAAGAGAGAACACTAATACCAAACTAATTTAATATTATGTGTCTTTTGTTATTAAATGTTTTGAAAGGCAATGTGACCAGGTGGTTAGAGCAAGGGACCTAAAGCCAGGAAACACTGGCTCAACTTACTACTCTGCCACTGTCTCACGGCGTGAATGTAGGTAAATGACAGCTACTGGTTATCTTCACCTCTAAAATTTGGAAATATTTATTCACCTGTCTACACCACAAAATCCCACTTTTGTAAAGATAAAGCCTAAAGTTTACAAAATTAAAAATACCAATGTGTTAGCTACTAGTCCAAAATAAAACTAACCACCCTTATGAAACAGACAAGTTTGTACAGCTCCACTTCTCATCAACTGAGAACTGTTTTCCAAAAGCTAATCTTCTAGAAATTAGTGCCAGCTTGTTTAATTATGAATGTGGATGAAAGTTGTCGGATCATTCTGTTTTAGACAATCTGTTCAGTGAATTTTAAATGGCAGCTCCAGGAGGTCCTGAAACCTATTTTGTCATCACTGATTTCTTGGCTTTAATTCCATTAAGAAGCAGCAATTATGGGAGCCAAGCTTGCCTGCTTCCTTTGGTAGAAACCATTTACTTTTATCATGAATCACAGTATAAAACTTTTATTTTCATGTAACTATAAGGGCAATTTTTCAATATAAACATTTGTCAATGGAAGTGACAGCACAATTAAAATTTTAAATACACTTTTTCCTACATTATCTCAACTGCCTCTCATCTCTTCTTCTCTTTCAAGTATGGATAGCTCTTATTACATGAAAATGATTCTATACATGTTATGCCCAGTTCTACAGTGCTTACTCACATTGACTAATAAGTAGTTCTACTGAACTCAACGGGAACACGCACACTGAATGAACTACCCAGCATGAGTAAGGTGACAAAACTAAGCCCCACTCAGTGCTTTCCACCCAAAAATTAATTTTGATTAGTCATATAACTTTTCATCTTTAATATGCAGCTACAAGCAAAAATAATGGTGAAGTGATCAACCAGTAACATAACAAGTGAAATACAAGATTGCTAACTGAAAAATAAAAAGTTAAGCCACACAAAAAAAAGCATTTGGTGCTTTTATCTCTGCTTAAAAATTAATGCAAATAAAAGCAGCATTGCTGCAGTGATTCAATTAAATTCATATAAACAGTGCCTTTGGAAATGCATAAAAATATAAAGAACCAATATTATTTCTCTAGAACCAATATTATTGTGAGTATTCAGATGAGGGAGAAAAGCATGTCAAATTAACAGATTTTAAGGGGTTCCACTCAACATCAGGAGGATCCAACAAGCTTCAGGAAAAGGCTATGCATAAAATCTAGATTTGGAAGATACTGAACAACAATTTTATTTAGACAAAAATGATCAATATTAACTGATCAATGTCTACTACATATTCCAATGCACTGTCCTTGAAGTGTGTAAATAAGTAAGATTTAATTTTCTTAGCAAAACTATATTAAATATTAACAATCAACTAAGACCCCAAAGCTGGACTGAGCTCAAGGTGGGAAGACTCCTGCGTTTGTTGAAGAACCCTACTTCTGAGAGAGTAAGATTACATGAAGGTGCAAGGAGTATGCACGTATAGTTATCAAGATAAAATTGGCTCTTAATTCTAGCAAGGTAAAAAAAGGAACCGATATATTCATAACAGGTGATAAAGCAACAAACACAAACAAACCGCATGTGGTCTTAGTGCTGTACCTTCTTCCCAATATAAACTGTAGACATTCATTTCAACAGTTACTTCTGAAAGCTTGATTCTACTCTGGTATATTTATACATTTGTTCTTACTTTTTTTAGACCTATATACACAATTTATTTCTTCCTTTAGTTTGGTATAAAGTTATGAAATATGTACGGAGAAAAAAATTACACCTGACCAGTCCCGGATGAGGGATTTTGCCAGACCAGGGGAGGTCATTACTGGCCCCCATCACTGCCTTGGCTCCTACTTCCTTCCAGCCCTGCTGCCCTGCCAACCCCACTGAGCAGTCTCTGCTGCTGGGGCTCTGGGACGCGCTGGGCAGTCATGCGCAGCGGCTCCAGGACCCACTAGGCAGCTGCGTGCCAATGACACAGCTCACTACACCACCAGGCCACCCCTACTACAGCTCCCAGCCGCACCAGGCAGCCGCACACGGGGTCTCCAAACCCTGCTGGGAAGCTCCGCCATCAGCTGGCTTGAAAGCAGCCCACTTGCCCTGCCATCCCCTGCTGCTGACCCTACACAGGAACTCTCTGTCCTGCAATATCTGCGCCAGATCATGGATGTTGCCAGACCAGAGAGTCCCAATTCATAACATTTCAACCTTTATCAAAGTTCTGTCAAACCTACACATTTTAGATTATTTGTATTACAGTAGCATTTATGAGCTGCAAGCCAGATAAGGGTTTTACTGTGCTAGAGACTAGACATACATATAGTGAACAGCCTGTACCCTGAAAAGCTTGCATTCTAAATAGGTAAGAGACTAAGACTATATTTATTATTCCCATTTTACTGATGGGGAACCAGGATGCAGAGGAATTACTTGACTTAGCCAAGATCACACAAAGTCTGGCAAAGAACCAGGAAATGAAACCAAATCTTCCCAGTCCCAAACCAGCTCATTAATCCCACAAGACTGGGTTTCCTTATGCTATCAAAATGGTTAAGGCATACACGTTAAAGTCTCAGATTTAAGATATAAAGCATCATTAAAGTGTAAAATAATTTCTAACAAAAAAGCACCAACATAAATAATTTCAAAGCCATGCCTATGAGAAGTGCAAGCAGTCTCATAGGAAAATGGTCATAACTATAATTATTTGCCCAATTCCCTGCTTTTAAGCATAAAATATATTTAGAGTGCTAAGCACAAGGATCAATCAACAGGTAACTGAACAGATTAGCACACAATGCAACTCTTCCCCTCATGCCCTCCCAAATGAAAAAAAAAATCTTTTCCTGCTCTGATCTATTTTTACAATCTGTTGCATTGGTATTTTGGATGATTTCCAAAAGTATTCTTTACAGGGACTTCACAAGTAAATGCCAGATCTCTGAATTATTTTAGCACATTCTCTTATACCGCTTCACAGAACAGAACAGCATTAATAAGGGATCCAGCAGTCACAACTTTTCAAATGCAAATATGTTGCAACCGGTACATACAGCCCTTAAAGAAACCTTCCCCAGCATCTAAAATCCAGCACACAACTTTTGTTCCCTCATATCAAATCTGAAGGTTACAGCAACTCATTAACAGAATCTCCTTAATGAAATTGCCAAAAATGGTATGGATTTCTCAGTTTCTTGCATTCTACAACTAACTAGTCCCATCTAACAGCTGATGAAAGCATAAATCTTTAAACAAATAATGAAAGCTTCTAACGATCTTTTGCTTCTTCAAAAGCAATATTGGTCCAAACTCTTCTGATAGGGTGTGAAAAGATAAACTTGGGGCCTGATTTCTACCTCACTGATACAACTCCGCTAATGTTATTGGCATCTCACACAACTACAATCAGGCTAATGGACTTTTTTCTAAACAGCTTCCAAAAGTAGCCGAGGGAATATTAAGAAGCTGCTTCCCCTCAACAAAAGCACACAAACAACTCATTGTTTGAGCCTCTGCTTAAACCAAAGTAGGCAGGGATTTCAGGATAAGGATTTTTAAAAATTTAATGTGTACCTGTTTTCTCCATGTTTGGTGTTTGAAGGGGGAGGGTGCAGCACAGTCTGATTCCCTTGCATCTCCACAATGCACTTGGTGTTCAAATCCAGCTCTAGAAATGAGCATGACAGACCAGAATAGTCCCTTCGTGCACAAAAACGGCACACAGGCACCCCTCCTCCCTGCCAAACCCCCTCCCCCCCCATTTCTCCCCAGAGCTACAAAACAGCCCTCCCCAGACGAGAGGAGAAGAAGTTGGGTGTTCCTCCCCGGAGTCTCAGGCTCCCCCAGCTAATCCCCGGAGCTATTTGGAGGGCGTTTCTCCAGACAGCCATGGGGGGGGACACAGGAGGGGGGGGGTCTGCAGGCTCCCCCTGAAGTCCACCTGCTAAGGGAAGGTGTGTGCAGGGGGGAGGTGGGAGACGGGCAGCACTTGACGTGCTGGGGAAAGCGGGGCTCGCCCCCGCCGTGGGGTGTGACAAGAGGCGCTTCAGCCGCCACCCTCCAGGCCACGGAGGGGACTGCAGGGTG